TAGAAAAGCAGTAGTCAAGTACGTTGTATGTGATGTGATGCAAATTCATGGAAGTCGTTTAACGCTAACGTTGATAAGTCGAGAAAAAAAGGCAATTAGAATCCTTAAAAGGATAAACGCTATCGTAATTGGTGAGCAACCGAGCATAAAAACGGACATGTTTATTATATATCAGTTCATGCTTTATTTCACTTTGATATCTTTATAACTGTATCGTGTTTGACATAATTATTGCCGTTCTCGATGCTCTCTAGTCGAGAAAATGGAAGGATTTGTAGAATTTTAATCAAATCTTCCTCTGTATGAGAAAATATTTCGCTAACAATATTCGCTGCCGTTGGGACGATTTTAAATTGCGCTCAATCTAAGTAAATACGGCGAATTTACACAGAGTTCTCTCATTCCTTTTACAAATTCCGACTCTCTGTAATTATATTTGGATTTCAGACTTTTTTAGTTTTCGCTCGGTGCACATTTCAATTAAGCAAAATAAAACCAATTTACTTTTGACGATCTGATGATATTACGTAGTATGTTCTTCTTTGTATATTACTGCATGGGCGTGTTTCTTGTTTTCGCAGAGGGGTTGGAATATGAAGAGGAAAGTAGTCGATGTAATAATAAAATGTTTGAAGAAGTCGTCGGTACTGCGTTTGGCGAACAAATTTAATTAGGGAAAAGAGAATAAAGTTTAGCAACGTAAATTAATTACGGAAAAGTCTTTCTTTACTTTATATTTTCTTTAATTCTTTTCTTATTTTTTAATGATCGCACAGTATTCCTTTTCCTTCTCACCAAAGTGTTTTTTGCTGGGGAGTTTTTACGTTGCTGACGTTTACATTTTTTAGTCCTGATCAAATAATTAAAATGCTCTCTGTATTGATTGGAAGAAACGTTTTTTCGTCAGTACAAAAAACTATGTTAATATATGACAGCAAATCGCCACTGGCGGCAGCGTTTCGAACTACTCTGGACTCTTGATATGTCAAACGGGCGTTTCATCAGTTTGACAATCGAAACAAAATGGAAACGATTTTCGATTAAAAGCGAACATTTTTGGTAAATACAAATTTGTTTTATTTAGAAACACCGCGACGCGGGCGTCGGTCTGATGTCACGTTAGTGCGGTTTGAGAAGACTGTGCAATAAATATATGAATCAAGCGCTGCATCAGCTAGTAGATATCTACTCGTAAACAAGTCAGGCGAACTCGAGTGGCATTTCCTAGATTGAAATACTGTTTTAGATTGTTTGTGATGCCCTCGTCCCGACGGTCAATATTATTTGAAGCGAATGAACCCTTCAACATGCAGACGCACTTGTAAAATGTAAATGTTACCAATATCGTAGGCTAAGTTCCTCCAAAATTTAAATTTTCTCCTATTCCGATTCCCTCTCGAACGACGCAGTAAGGATTAGAAGCGGCCCTACTCACCTGATCTACGATATATTTTTATAGATTAAAGAAGGATAATGCTGATTAAAGAATAATAAGGGAAAGTGTCGCAACGTTAGGGTTGTTACAGTAGGGAAACTCCGAGGGAGGGAAGTACGGTCAATATATTACGGGGTCGCCGAAATATTATTTGCACCTGCACTGTTATATGAGCTTAATTCCGCAACAGTGAATTATCGTCATGTAATTATTCCATCTACTTAGCTGTATGATGAATTGCCTTTATGATGAATAGCCCTTATTTTAATTGAATATGTTTGAATGACCGAGAAGCCGTCACGTTTAAGGAATATCAAATTAAACCATTCGCTTGAATGTTCTAAAAATTAGATTACCCTATTATTAGTATTTATTTTGTCCTTTTTGATTTGGGTGCGATTGTTGAGAAAGAATTGAACAAATTCAAATTTTGAGACTTTTGGGTATGCTTTTGTTTTTTTTTTTAATCCACAGTTTACTAGATATGAGTGAAAAACAGGTTTGGTGATTTTTCATTTAACTGTTGTAGAATCGTTAGTATTAGAAATACAGAAATATGCAAAGTCAAAGAACAAAAATTGTAGATTTTTTTCCGCTTTAAGAAGATACATTTATTAATATTTATTCTTCTTTTATAATTTTTGAGTTATAACGCAAACTTACATTTTTTTAAATGGTAATCAACATTGGCCTGTTCAATTGTCGTCGTAAATGAAATGTACCTATCTCACTACATATTGTTTTCCATGGCCAACTCTGTTAACTTACCTCTCAATAATACGAAAATTACTACAGGGCGTTTATTTATTAAAGTACATTTAGCAAGACTTATATTGTTATAAAGAGAAAAATTTGTCCCTTTTAAAAATGTCAAAGCCAACTATGACTACCATTTAAAAAAAATTAAAGTTTGTATTATAACTCAAAAATTGTAAGATCTAAAAATAAATTAGTATGTTTATCATGTTAAGCATTAAAATCTCTAAAACTTTTATTCGTGTCATTTTGTTGTATTTCTAATAATAATGATTCTACAACACTACACTAAATCTGTTTTTCGTTCATATCTAGTGAACTGTGGATTTTTTTTCAAAAAACAAAAGCATATCTTAACTAAGGTCTTAAAACGACAACTCTTTCCTCATTTAACCGAATCCGTATGTCTTATGGTTTCCGAGATCCCAATACTTAAAATGAAAAAAAAAACTCACCCTGTATTGTATACGGTGTTAATTAGATGGCTAGTGAACGTAATGGTCATACATGAGCTAAGTGACCTTTTATTGAACAGTAGATTTTAATTAAAGACAGGCGGGCTGGAATCTAAGGGGCGGTAATAATTAAATGCTAGTGGTTGTATAGGTAGTTTAACTTCAGGCACTAGGTGCGCACCACTGTGCTAAAATTTACGAGGTTTTGATAGGGGTTACAGGAATATGGATTCCCCCAGATATAAGGCCGATTCTAACTCAAAAGTCACTAGATGTGGAAAAAAGTCACTAGAAAAGTAACTAGGTTTGAAACTCTACTCAAAGTCACTAAAAGGTCACGAGAGGTTTGAAACTGTGCTAACAGTCACTAGAAAAGTAATTAGGTTTGAAACTCTGCGTCACTAGAAAGGTTTGAAACTCTGCTAGTGATATAGGGGCCGATTCTAAATCAAAAAGTTACTAGATGTGAAAAAAAGTCACTAGAAAAGTAACTAGGTTTGAAACTCTGCTCAAAGTCACTAGAGGTTTAAAACTCTACTAACAGTCACTAGAAAAGTAACTACTAGGTTTGAAACTCTGCGTCACTAGAGGGGTTGCTATTGATATAGGACCGATTCAAACTCAAAAAATCACTAGATGTGCGAAGGTAACTAGGTTTGAAACTCTGCTAGTGTCAAGTCACTAAAAAAGTAACTAGGTTTGAAACTCTGCTATTCTCATATAGTGGGAATTATTCGTGTTGATTGATTATCGATTTCGGTTACTCATCACTAAAGGTTATTCACCTCATGTTCTTTCTGAGTTATTGATTGATTATCGATTTCGGGGTCACGGCAACTACGGTCACTAGATTTGTAAGAGGTTAGAATCATTGCTAGGGGTGTGTTTCTGAACTAAACTGCTTCCTTTTAAACTAGCTCTGGTTTGTGTCCGAGTTTTGTATGTGATTGAACCGTTTCCTGATGAGTGTACGGGTGATTCTAAATCACACTAAAATCCCCCTAGAAAAGTCACTATACTGTATTCATTTTAAGAAGGTAGCGGTAGAAAGCATAGGGAAGCTTTGACCTTCACTGTGATTGGTTAAAACATGAGTCAGTATTACAATGAAACATAAAACGACTGGTGAATTTTGTAAGGTGGTAGTTTATGTTGCCAACTAAACTGCTGAAGTGTCATTAGCTGTTATTGTCAAAGGTTTATTTCTATTCGCAGTGCCGAATATTTCTACTTTACAATAATTTGGTGCCGTTTTATATTTTTCCTGTGTGTGTTTATCTTTAAACACAGCGCCATCTACTACCTTCTTATAATGGATGCAGTATAGGATTGAGTGGTTCTGAACTGCGCTAGCGAGGTTTGCGCCTGTGCTAACGTCAAGGGGGTCGAGGTTTGTGCTCGAAATAAAGTATCGGAGGTTTGCGTCCGAGCTAAACTAATTTGGTTTGCGCCTGAGTGGAGGGTACTGGTACCAGCCAGGTATCTCCAGAACTGGGGTTGGGACGGATTATAGAAACAGGAATTCCTGATACAAACCTGGCACAAAGTGTCGACCAGTAGTTTCAGGATGGTTAGGAGGATTCAGGATAGAAATTTAGGCACTAGGTGCGCAGCACCAGCCTGACTTTCTGGCGAAGGTGGTCTTCGTGAAGTCTAGAGAAATTACAGAGTGCAGGCCAGGTTGTTCGGGACTACTGGAGCTGGAGGAAGGTCAAGTAGAAAAGTAAAAGTGTCTCTTACGAACTGGACGCTCGCATTTATCCTCAATGGCTGTTTACATTTGCGGGAATAACTGGAAGTGGTAATAGGAGCAACGGGATAACTGGAAGTGACACTTGGAGAAGTAGAAAGGTGAGATGGGTGACGGCATCTTATATGTATGGTGTTAAATTAGAAAATAATGCAGACAAATTAGGAAAACCTTGCCATATGCTTGGCTGGCTAATGTATTGCACTTAAAATTTAGATACCTTTAAATTAACAGAAATTTAGCACCATGCATGAGTGAGGTAGTAAAAAAATGAGCTTTCTAATGATGTATCACATGACCATATTACCATTAAACAAATTCAAGATGGCGGTTACAATTCCGGAACAAATATCTTCAGGTATAAACTTCGAGGTAGGTCAATGTTGGTAGAATGAAGTGGATTCATATGGTTAATGTAGGTAGAGTTCCCAAGCCGGTGATGTAGAAACTCTATCTATCGCATGACGCGCCGAAACCACAGATCCTTAAAAACGATTCAATGGAGCCGCCACACACATCAAAGAGAAAGAGAAACCACTCCAAAGATAATATGGTAAAGCGAAATCAAAAGCTCGTAAGGCGAAAGTAGAAACTTCACTGAGGAGGAAGAATACAACTGCACGGGTAAGATAAAACTTAAAGAAGGAGGGATAGAATTTAGTGCAGAAAGGTACAAAGCGTGCATTGTGGCAACCAGACAAAGAACTAGGCAAAAGAAACTTCTAGGATACTCTCTAACGGCAACACAAAGAACTATAGGTAATAAGAAATCTATACTAAGTTAATAACAAATCTACTACAGAAATTAATTTACACCTAAACTAGTGGATTATAAAGAAGATACCTAGATGGCGTAAGGATACTGAATTTAAAAAACGTTTACATTATAAATAAGGTAGAAGATGCATTTGACAGTATTCGTTGATTTAAAGGTATAATTCAGGTAACGTATCGATTTTAATTTTGGTGGGATATTTAAAATTGGAGCGTTATCTGAGCGTTCCCAAATTTTCTTGTCATACATTTACGCAAATTAAGTTTTGGGTACCTATACCAATATCACCACATAATATATAACAGAGCCTTATATAAACAAACCGAAAGTGGTAAATTTTATATGAATTAGGAGTCGGTAAGTAAATATCAACAAACAGTGGCGTACCGACGTGGAGGTAATATTTTCAACTCTATAGATTGTCGTGAAACATCACACAGGGGGTGCCAAATACATTGCTTGACCTCGATCGCGCTCAAATGTTTCTCCCTCTCATCGTTATAGGTTACACCGTGAATTTTGAAATCTTAGCCTAGTTAGAATTGACTCCATCTCCAGTACAAAATGCAGGGAGTGTTTTGTTTCGGATTTGGTGTTGGATTGTTGCATTTTTTGTTGTGAATTTCGAATTTGATTTAAAGCTCTATATTAAACCGAGTGCCAGTCTGGTGCAAATAATTTACGATTGTTGCTCAAATGCGAACTGACTGTTCCATTTTTATGATTTAGAAGTAGTGCGGCGCGTATAACGAAATTAGAAAAATTCCGAATGTTGCCAACACTTGATACCGTTTACACTGCGCAATAAATTTTTATAACTCACACATGGTGTCGCAAAAGGACGACGCTTTGTGCTACTGAATGGTCGCGTATGATGGGAACCGGCGGCGTCGCCGTCCACGTAATTGTGATGAATGGGTGTATCTCGGTCCTGGTCGTCGCTTAATCGAATTCGTATACTAAGGATCACAGTTGGCAACCATTAGTAGATTGCCTGCAGTGTTTATGGCGAGAAAAATCAATTCTTATCTACCTAATTCTGGAAGAGATATTCAGAAAACGCTCATTTTCACCGGGAGGTCGAAATAAGGTTATTTTTCTTAAGTGCTTGTAGCGATATAGAGGCACTCGACTCGTTTTTAAAGGGTGGGCTTGTCGAGGGGGTGCGATAATCAGCTGTGCACATGACACATCTGATGTGATTATCTCGGCATGTGCGAGCGGTCCCATCACCACACACAGACGCATGGAGAGCACCAACATAAGTTTAAGTTTATCAGATTAGGGCACTTCAGATGTTTCATGATCTCGCTTTGTTTCAGCTTTATTGTGTGCGTTGGCGTCGTGGACCAATTAGCCAAATGCTGCGTTTCGGTCCGAGGTCCGGTGCACGACAACCCCTTGGCGTGCGCCTTTCTTCTGTCTGCTCTCGAGTTCCTCGCCGCTCTTGCAGACCATTGCTCGGAAGAAGGAGACTCCACGCACCTGGTGAGCGGAATTATTCTTGTAATAAAAGCTCGATCTTTATGCTTTCAGATTACCACTCTGTACGGAACCGAGCTAATGGGGGCGGTTTCTATGCTTTACGGCACACTGTTACCACCGGAGTCAGCGCCCCGCACGGAAGGCCAACCGCCCCCAATAATACCGGCCCTTTGTCTTAATCTGGCGACCGCAACTTTCAAGCTGCTAAGGAGGGTCGCCGAATTGGATTTTAAAAAATTTCAGGTGAGCCACTACCCGAAGACCTTATGTTTAAATTTACGCTAATTACTTCGTGCTCGTTGATGGGTGGTAAATTGCGGTGTACGAGTAAAGCACACATACTACAATGATAAACAAACATATCAGTCAATGTACACAAGAAACGCCCTAGAGATCGTGCCCAAATTAACTGAAGTTTGAGTACAAAGCCAATTTCGAACTGGAAGCAAAATGATTCAATTAAAACGTAGCGGTCGATGTAAATATAGATAGAGGTCTTTTCTGTAAACAAGGGAAGCTAACTTAAATTGATACTACCCCAGTGCCTGTATTTTCCAATGTTTACGCGATTTTACTCAATTAATATTAAGTTAATTAGAAATCTTCGCTCCCGCCACAATAATAATTATCAACTGCACGATTCACGTCAAATTATACACTTTTTCGATAATTGTCAATCACTAAAAATTTCGAGAGAAATCAAAAAATGGTATATTAAATAAATGTGTTTGTTAATTTAGTTACTTTTCGATAGTTTTGACAAAAATGAAGTTAGTTTTTCATTGTTTTTGTTCCAAAATTTTCTTGCTTCATATTCCTCTACATTTCAAACGCAATTTTCAACTAAACGGTGTTAGTTTCTGTAAGCTCTCACAAACCATCGTTTATTACCTCCACTTATTTGTTAAATAAAAGTTTAAGTTCTCCGGAAAAACCTCACGTTGGATAAGATTTACTTGAATCTTAGGTAGTTCAAATGTAATTTTTGATTAAATGTGAGTTTTGTAACCGAATTTGGATTACTATACATGATAAGTGGCTATATGTCCTATAAACTTAACGAAATTATTTGGATGTTTTGGAAATCTTTTGGAAAATATCCTATATTTCAGTAAATAAGCAGCCTTTTATAAAGCAAACGAAAGAGACTCATTATTTTCAGAATTTGTTGAAGTATGTACCTAATGCCTCGCCGCCTCGGTCGTGCACATTTGGAAAAATTATTTTACTACATACACGTAGAATACGTATAAGATGGATAGCTACCAATGAATACGTAAGTTATGATATTGTAGCGAATATTCCAGAATGCGACATCGGGTTGCCATCAGGTTGCCGTCAAGTGTGTCAAGGATTAGTCACGCATTATTTCCGGGATATATATGTTTCGAGAATGTTTTTGTTTGATATATAAGCAAATTGAATCGTGTTTCATTTCAGTTCCAACATCGACGCCAAAGTTATATATATGTACTGACATTCGCTCTCCTGTGTTATAGATCTACATGTTATAAATTAGAGTACAAGTGAGTGATCTAGTGAGTGATAAATAATAATTAACGGTTATAAATTGACCCATCAATACCAAAGCCTTCAGCAGCCTCACTAATCGCAACGAACGTGATGTTTCTAAACTCATTCTCGATATCTAGAAACGCTCCCAGCTCGGCAGACATTACTCACTCCAGCCTGCACACGAGGCTCTGTGAAGAGTCTTGTAATCGTAGGTACTGTGGATCAAATCGGGCCTTGATAGTGGTAAGGTGCAATCTTCGGTAACGAGAAAAGGTGATGTACGTAAAATCAGGTATGTCGGAGCGATTTACAAGAGTAATAATCACCAAAAGGTTCCGTTAACTTGCAGTTAAACAGGAACTATATTGAAATCTCCAGGTATAAATTTTCGAAGTAGGTACTAGTAACGTCGCTAATGTCAATCTCGCTAAGATGGCGGGTCCAGGTAAAAATGCGATGTCATTTAGGTTTTGTGCAGGTAATATCCAGGTAGATAATGTCGGAAAAGTAATCCAAAAGAGAAACGATGAGATCTTAGGAGAAAACGTTGAGGGAAGATAAAGGTCTGAAAAAATCATAACCCGTACATACCTCACACTAATTACAGTGCAATCTTGATAATCCGGCCTTCGTTAATCCGGCGTCTTTGGGACGACTACAAGATGTCATTTTTGATAAAATGCATATCTAGCCAAGAAACAAAAAATTAATGATTATTTTTCCTAATGTGTAAAATTACGTATTTGTGTATATTTTGTATTTCTTTGTAAGTATTTTCATTGTATGCACATATATTCATAGTAAAATTGGCGTTTTTTCTCTATCACTCTCGATAATCCGGATTATTTGATAATCCAGCGGTTGCGTGGTTCCATATGTGTCGGATTATCAAGATTCTACTGTACTTGCAAGCACACATTCGCAAAGCGTGTTCAATGAAGCACAGCCACAGCACATCAGAAATAGAGAGAATACTTGGTGAAACAATGAGTCCTTATTCAGATAGACACTAAGTCAAGTAAAAAGTAATAGCGTATCGAGAAAAATCTGCACGCAACCACTGTGAAGGCAAAACCGTCTATACATACGCGAAAGAATTGCAACTGGACGCAAGATCAAATTAAAGAAGGGATAGAATTAGAAGTACCATGGAAAACATCTGCACGGCCTCGGGCGGCGAAAATAAAAAACTATTGTAAATGAAACCTATAACAGTCGAATGGCCTCTAGCGGCGAACTAAAGAACTAAGGTAACCTGTCTGTACTACAGGCATAAGTTACATCTTAACTAAACGGTTTTACAAAGGAATAACGCGACGTTTTTGTGGATGCGGAATCACGTGGGTTTTTGAATGCACATAAACGCGTACAAAAACGTCCGTCTGTATGGCCCTTAATGCACATAATTCCCCCATAGTTTCTGGAAGTTCATATTTTTGGATACAAGAAATTGGCCGCACCAAATTCATTTTTTTAGTATCTTATTTTCTCCAGGTGCGCATTTCTGCATAAGAATACATTTAGGAAGAAGTCCGCTATTCCGAGAATTTTATTTCAACGGTGCAAAACCGCCATATTTCTTTCTTGTGGTTGTAGAACGTTTCATGGACATGGACTTAAACTACCAGCACAGATTTAAACACTCTAAATCTGTGCTACCAGTAATTCAATTCTGGATTTATTACCTTTAATTAAAGAGAGCGTTTAATTATTTCACGTAACGTTACCTATTCATTGTATACAGGGTGGGCCATAAGTGTGTGGGTGGACGATTGTAGGTTTATTAACGCGCATATTAAAAGTTCATTGTGAGGGAATGTTGATGGACCCTTCAGGCTACAATCTAAAAATATTTTCACCGAAATTGCAATTGTTATAGAGGGTGATATTTATATCAAAGTTGCATTTTTTTTAATGGAACCCCCTATATATTATTACATATTTCGATTCCTTGGTCAATTTTAGTGTAACTTTATGTATACACATGATATCTAAAATGAGTAGTTTAGCCGCAATTCTTCGTTTTTTTAAAAAGTAGAATTCCAATAAAAATTGAATATCGCAGTTATCATAAAACTTTAGAAGGCCGTGACTTTGCAGTGGCACTAATCATGAAATGTACTAACATACGCTGAACAGCTAAACTTTTTTTGTGTTAAAAGAAATCACTCCGTCAATTTTCAAAATTTCAATCAGAGGTAACTTGATTTTTTTTAATGGAAATACGAAGTTTTTTTTATTGCATGAAATGTAAAATTTGATTACCTTTCTAACGATATAGGCATGTCGGTACCTATTTTTTGTAATTCAGCAGTTTCTAATAATTCAGTGTTTTTTGCGATTTTTAAAGCCTCTCAGTAATCAGTAGGCCGTTAAAAATTAAGAACAATTCAAATGATAAAACATTTACCCACAACAAAACAAAACAAAAACTCTTGTTTGTCGTAGCCCATTTTAAAAGATAAAATAATGAGTTTGCATTTAAACCAATGCCTGAACGTATAAATAAATCAATTTGAATAGTAAGCCATGAAAGCCATATTAGAAAATATTAACACAAAATAAAATGAAACAACATCTGTCAGTTTAGTTTATTAGCATTTACAATTCTGTTGTTGATTGTTGTGTTAGAAAAATGGAATTTGAATAACATTTTAAACGGTGCTCTTTACTTAAAATTTTTAAGTACTCTTTTTTTTGCTCGTCTTCAAAATTTTCTGGTGCACATAGTAGACGGAATGTGGTTTCAGCACGATGGTGTCCTACCTCATTTTGTCTTGTCTTGAACATTTATTGAAATAATTATTTTTCTCTTATTTTGATTTACACTTTTTATTTTGATCTTCTTAAGTTTTTGTTTTATTTTATTTGGAATAATTTTTTTATAAATTCAATTGTTTATAATTTTTAACGGCCTATTAATCACTGAGAGGCTTTGGAAATCGAAAAACACTGTGAATTATTAGAAATTGTTGAATTACAAAAAATATGTAAAAGATAAATATCGGCATGCTTATATTGTTACAAAGGTAATAAAATCCTACATTTGATGCGATAAAAAAACTTGGTAGTTCCATTCAAAAAAATCAAGTTACCTTTGATTGAAATTTTGAAAATTGACGGAGTGATTTCTTTTAAAACAAAATAAAGTTCAACTTTAGCTGTTCAGCGTATGTTACTAGATTTCATGATTAGGGCCACTGCAAAGTTACGGCCTTCTAAGTTTTATGATAACTGCGATAATCAATTTTACTGGACATCTACTTTTTGAAAAAACGACGAATTGCGGCTAAACGACTCATTTTAGATATCATGTGTAATACATAAAGTCACACTAAAATTGACCAAGGAATCCAAATACCAATGTAATAATATACAGAGGGTTCCATTAAAAAAAATTCAACTTTGAAATACATCACCCTGTATAACAATTGTAATTTCGTTGAAAACATTTTTAGGTTGTAGCCTGAAGGGTCCTTCAACATTCCCCCACAATGAATTTTAAGTATGTGCGTTAATAAACCCGCAATCTTCCATCCACCCTGTATCTATTAAAATTAACTAATTTTAATTTAACAACAGTTTATTATAATTATTATTATAATATATATATTAATTTATAAAGTATATCGCCCCCTTATTTAAGACTGGTATATGTGCACTTTATGATCAAGCCTTTATTAGGTATTATACCTGAAAATGGATGGAATTCAACAGATTTGGCGGTTAATTACAAGCGATAAATGTACACTGTGCGACTAATTTAATGAACGGCATTCGTTTTTTGTCACGAAGGCGTCGTTAGACTTTACAATAAATGATTTTAATCATGTTACAATTAAATTTCGCTATCGAAATCTATAATATATGAGAATCAATTTGAATTTCGACCATCCCCTAAAATAAGACGCTTCCAATCTGTACATGGGATTAAAGAATACGTGGTAAAAATACAGTCGTTTTACTTAGGTAATACATGAAAAATTTTCTGAAGATAGAAAATAAAGTTAAAGCGCGCAATCTTTAAGCTTTTCGTTCTTATATTCCCGAAGGGAAAGTCGCGTGCACGTGTAGCAATACTAGAAGCATCGAACACACTCCGAATTATCATCCCTCGAGAATAAAGAATTGAAAAGTGTAGTATAGGGCAGGGCGAAAACTTTTTCTCACATATTCGAATCGGTTGACATCCGTACAATGATATGCTTTCAGGGAGTTCTCGGCGCCGAGGGAATTTCCTTACAATTTCGGCACATCGCTAGTCACCTTATTTGGTCCTGCACCTCGCCGACGCTACCGAAACCGTCCAACGGAAGTAAGGATAACACGAAATTACTGTTGGAGGCGCACCAGCAACTGCTGCACGAGGTTATTTACGTTACCGGATACTTTGCGGTCGGCGACCAAGATAATCAGGTGGGTAATTTAAATTTTGTTTGCTTGGGAAAAATCGTCAAAATCCGGGTTGCCAATATCGACACGGTTGTGTGTTAATGAGGGCGCGGCATCGTCGTTGGCCACGAGGACGGGGATTTCGGTGGCGCCGCGCTATCTTAATGACGGCGGGCCAGCGTGGAATGTGGACCAGACACGACCGCCTGCGTCATGTACACCAAAAGATACCGAAAACACTATGGCGATGCCTTCGGTGAGTGATGATAACATGACGCTATTAAAACACACCATCGGCCAATTTTAATATACATCTTCTGTTACGTAACATCAGTTGCTGGTTCCATTTTAATAGTTTTCTTAGTATGGGGGAGTAATGGTCACAATTTCGTTTACAAAAAGCTGCAGAGGATGCGAGTTTATCTTTTCTGCAGAACTTGTACAATGACCCTAAAAAAATCAGAAACGCGCACACACTTCTGTGCAGGCGCCCACAAATTTGACGGAAATACAGTGCACATTTAACTAATTGGAATTTTCAGGGGTCGAAGTAATTTTAGATCTTTCAAAAAGTTTACTCACAACAGCCTCCAAAATTGCGAAAATTAACATCACGCGCACCGATCACTTTTGTGGGACTTTTGCTTATTAATTAAACTTTTTGTTGTCACGATTCCAGAAATCAATATCCAATGTGTCGTTTGTCCCAAAATTTAGGTTTCTTCTGCTTTCATTTTTTCTCATGAATCATAAGAACCTGCGCTTTTTTATTTAAAGTTTTTGAGTACCTATGTCCGTTCTGATCATGTTAAAATATTTCCGAAATTCCTACCCCAAGATTATTATCCTTAAATAGGGTGCGAAAAACGAAATTGGTTACCTGGGGACTTTTAAACATGAAACTAATGAATCTAAAATGGGTTTTTGAAAATAAAAAAAAAATACCTCAAATTTGGTTGGTGCGGCTTGTATGTATATTTGAGAACAAAGCTATCGATCAGGTTAAAGTGACGAAGTTTTGCAGTTTTTGGAAAATTTAGTTATATAAAATAAAAGTTGAATGAAGTTTTTTATTTCTGTAGAACGAACTCATATTGGATTTTTAAATTATTAAAGAGTGTTTTATTCTTTTATTCACTGATGTAAGATATTATAACGGGCGACCAAAAATGAGGGGCAGTCGAGTCGCCTTTGGAAGTCCCATGTAAACAAAAATTCCAAAGGTAACTAATTTTTGATGGCATAGTACTTATAATTCAAGAAACAAAACTAGTAAAATTAACTATTTTTGCATTTTAATCAAGAAGGCGAGCTTAATTTTTTTAGCAATTTAATACCTAATTAATTATTCTTTAGTGGATCATAAGTTAATTTCGTCAATAAATCAACCGATACAACAAAATATGGATGGATCCTCAGTATTACCATCACTTTTAACAACGATTTATGTTAACCGTGCAAAATACATACCGGGTGGTGACGAACAACGCACCATAGGAATGACAATAGTATTTTTTTCATTTCTGATTATTGGCTTTCCTAATTATTTTACAAATGAAGCCTATTTAGGTTTTTTGTAGAGAAAAAAAGTTACGAATCCGTACATACTATTGTTTCCTATTTTATAAAATCAGAAACGTTCGTCAAGTCACCACCCCGTACAGTAAAAAAAAATGTATCAAATTCATATCTTGGGATTGGGAGATAATGCATGTGACGTACTCTTTCTGAATCAAGATAATGCATTTGAACGCGTTTACATGTCCAAATTCAGGTGTAAACAATAATTTTGGGTACATTTTTCTGGCATTAAAATCTTTCCCCAGCATTAACTCTTCCCCCTACCTTACCTCTACCATATTTTCTATTTTATTTTTTAAGTCTTTCATTCCTTCTCTATTGTATGTAGTTATCACTCTCATTTTCATCCCCTCTACTTCCACTTTTTTCTTGTATTTCTTCCTTCTCATTCATTTCCTCGCCCCATTCCTTTATTCCAAATTTTAATAAGGATTGTTAGTTAAAATACATTACATTTTACTATTCACTACGTTTTGCACTATAATTTTTAGGGGTTGAAACTTTTCAATTCATCATCATTTAGACCTCAAAATGTTAATTGATGTTTGTTTAATTTTTTAAAGGGGATTTCGATTGAAAGCTTGGATCTGTATAATTATTTGCAAACAGGGGTAGTCTTCTCCCCTAAGGAATAGTAAGTAACTAGCGGCACAGGTTCATATATAAAGTAGAGGGTAAGTAGAACCTAAGCCTAAATTTTGATGCAAATCGGTGATATGTAGCGATTGGTATACAGGCCGTTTCACGCAAACTGTTCCCTAAAGTATTCAGACTCCCATTAATAATTTATATTCAAAAATTTGCACACCAACATAATTTTTCAAAATATCATGATCTTTTCGCTTCCGGTTTTACCGGATGTGGATAGCAACTTACTTATTTTAAATAGAACACCCTATATTTTATTGCATTTTCGAAATTTACATGAAAATGTACGTCGTTTGGTACCATATTTCCCTATACCCGGCTAACCCATGTTATTAAGTTATTTAAGATTTTTCAAAATATACTATTGGTTTCAACTTGACGGTACTCCTACCCATGATGCTTATATTAATGTCTTTGAAAATCTTTGACAGGTTGATTAGGCCTACAGATCTGAGGTATTGGTTTCTAAATCTCTAGATATAACTCCACTGGAGTTTTGAGTGTGGGGGTCGTATAAAAAAGTTTATTTTACACCGGTTGTTTCTCTTCAAGAACTGGAAGTTAGGGTGAAAAGAGCTTTTGATAAAATGGAGTAGGAATTCGAGAGGCGACTACCAACTGAATCGGAGTGTATAGAATGCTATTATGTATTGAAAAAAAACATTGGCCACGTAGAACAAAACAATTGATGTTTGTTTTTTTTGTTTTGTCGTTTGTTATCATGACCTGTTTCTGTTTCATCTTTATTTAAGTTTGTATTCATTAAAGTAAATCGGATTCTTTCACATATTGAGTGGTATAAACTACCATGAATAACGAATGATGACAATTATAAGTATTACCATAAAAAGATTTGTTTGACAGATCTGCTAACGCATTTATTTCAAGGCCTCCCTAAGAAAATTATACGTAACTGTCACAATTTAAAAAAATCTAAAATAAAACGAAAAGCAAACATAGGTATATAGGGAATGTAATAAATGATCGAAATAGAATTTTTTTCGATATTTGAAACTGCGGAAAAATACATTTAAGAAAATTTTTATGGTTTGAAGTTTGTTAAAATTGACCATTAGTTTTAAAACACCCTGTAGAAGGGCGATCAAAATTTAAATCATCAAGTCAGTACTGTTGATTTGCCCTAAAGAAAAGCAGTCAAACGTCAATTTTTTGATTCTACGTGAAATTTCACTTCTTTTGATACCCATATGTCGATATCTACCATTTATGGTTTTTAAGTTATTTTGACTTTAAGAAAAAAAATGGCGGATGCAGATGGTACCTTGATAATTGATTACTTGCAAACGATTGTAGTCATGGCAACCTATTTTTATCAGTGCATAGAGAATGAATAGGGCTTTCTTTTAGTGCACTTAAAAAAAAGTTAAGTTGCGTACGACCGCCCCTATGGATATCCAAATTTATGTAACTTCAAAGACTAAAAACTCAGTTTTTTTTAATGGAATGACCATGTTCTTACTATTCCATGAGATAGAGAATCGAAATGGGCATATTTTGACATACATGTTCCTATAGCTATCTTTAACAGTTTCTGACTTATTCCCATTTTATTGAATTGACACTATTTTTTTCGGATTTTCTTTTTAGTAGTCGGCTATGATTTTATAACAATCGAATTTTAAACAAATCTAGTGACACTAATCCATCACCCACTGTTATAGGTTAACATAAGTTTTTCAAAAATCGAAAAATGACTCGCAGTGGTTTCACCTATTTTGGAATTTAATTGTTATTTATGGTGAAATAGACAGAATCGCGGGGCGTGCTTTCCGTACATTCATTCGAAAACTGGAACGAAATTGTATGAATTTTGGAAATTTTGTACCCCAAATGCACTACAAACCGTTGAAGCACAAGTGATACAAAGCTCTACAAGAGAATATTTAAGAAAATGAATTGAATTGCAAATGCAAGATTAACATATTAAATTCAATGCAAAATATAAAAAACTTCGTTGAAACATTTTTGGTATGGAATTGTTGCTAGAACAGATATCGCATTACCTCTCTTAATTTCCAGACTTGTTTAAGAAATTCAGTTGAACGACTCTGTTTAGATTTTTCAAAAATTTTCCGTCCTATATCCTTAATAAATGAGTTATTTATTAATGAATTATTTAGACTAGAACTAGAATCAGTGGTATTAAAGAATCCATTCCTTGATTTGTTTAAAATTAGATTGTTATAAAATCATGGCCAACTACGCATCAATTCCGAGATCAATTCAATGAAATGGGAATAATTCAGAAGCTGTTAAAGATAGCTATAGGAACATGTAATATCAAAATATGCCAATTTCGATTCTCTATCTCATGCAATATTAAGAACATGGTCATTCCATTAAAAAAAAACTGACTTTGAAGTTTCTTAAATTTGGATCTCCATAGGTGCGGTTGTACGTAACTTTACTTTTTTTTAAGTACACTAAAAGAAAGCCCTATTCATTCTCTATGCACTGATAAAAATGGGTTGCCATGACTATAACCTTTTTCAAGTAATCAATTATCAAGGTACCATCTGCATCCGCCATTTTTTTTTTCTTAAAGTCAAAATAACTTAAAAACCATAAATGGCAGATATGACATATGGGTATCAAAAGAACTGAAATTTCACGTAGAATCCAAAAATGCAATAAAAAATAGGGGTTGCCATTTAAAATAACGGAATTACTATCTACTTCCGGTGTTTCCGGAAGTGCGGACATTTTGAAAATATTTTATATAGATTCGGCCTTCAGAGTAACTCCTCAGAGTTAACTCTTCAGAGTAAGTACAAATTTTCAAAAACCTACGGATTTTACTTTCCCAGAAACGTTTAACTAAAGCTCCCAAAAAAACACCCTGTGTAGCAACCCTGGTCGTGTCAAACGTTAAGGAGCGATAGGTGGGCACGTTCCAAATATGAGTGAACTTGGTTAATTCAAATCTTCGACTTCCAGTTAAATTGATCGAACAAAAGTTGAATTTGAATCAAATAACCCATTCATAAAACTGTAATGGATTGGGGATGAGAAATATGAATATAACGTAACTCAATTGAAAAACTAAGCTTAAAATGTTCTCTAAATCACAATTTCTCTCCTTTTTTTCAGCGTATTCCTCACATTAATTATTTTAATCTTTCTTTACTGCAACATTCTGTGTTGATGATCCAAGGAATTGTTGCGTTGTAATTAATTTTTAATTCCTCAAATAGTTGTCTATGTACACCATACGGTGTATATATACAGGGTGGCCCACTGAAAACAGTCAATGCAAATTTTGCCAACATAGCGACAGCCAGAAACTCTCGAACACGTCAATTTTAGTTTTGAGGAGGACACCTAAATTAAGTAATACTACTTACATAACTTTAATCCCGAGAAGGGGGTGAATTGGACCCCAAAAATTTTAAATGGGAAGGGGTAGTAAATGTTAGATAAGTCGAAAGGAATATTCATTATGTTTTCAGAACTGTTTTTATTTTTCAAATCCGATCAGTAGTTCCAGAGAAAACTCGATTGAAGATTTGCAGAGCCGTTTTAAATGTTTTTTAAGTAGGCGTTGAAGTTGGAATAATTGAAAGCTTTTGTCAGAAAAGAATAGCTGACATAAGTGCACAAGCAATGAAGCGAATGAAAGTTTTGTAATTTTGTACAAAACAGGTTTTTTTTGGTTTTTTGAAGTCTGTAGTCTACTAAATTAGGAATACTATTATAATGATTACACAACGGCACTATAAAAATGTTCAAAAGTAAATATGTATTGTCCATATTATATTGGTATTAAGAATGATTGTTATAAACTGAATTGTTATAACATTTCCCAAAGGAAATTCGTGTGCACTATATACGAACATAGAAGGTATAATTTTTTGATCTAGTGTCATCTGCTGATTGATGTTCTTGCAACCAAGTTGTGTTATGAGAATCTAGGTTTAGACTTTTGAGTATTTCTTGTCCCACACACTTAATCGTTCTGTTATCGTTTTTTAGGTTTGTGAATTTCCCTACGTTAAACAATTGTCAACTTGGAATTATTTTGCGTTTTTCCTCTTTGATTTGTAGATCTATTTGCGTCGTTTCCATATTTTGGGCAATTTCGTCCAATGTGTCCGAAACGATTACATCTGAATCATTTCACTTCCGTTTGATCCTGAGCGTGTTCGTTTCTCAACGCATTGTCAGTTTTGCGTTTTACAACGTTTGCCGTAGATTGTTCGTTCGTAGTACTTTTGTTTAATATTAATTTCTCTTCTTCTCATCGTTTCCTCAATTCTTAAACCTCGGTTACTTAACTTCTTCTGTATTTCGCACTTTCTGTAGATATACTCGTCAATTGACTCAGTTGAGATCTTTTCGGAGTCAAGGAATTCCTTAAAGTAACAAAATGGCGTGAAAACTGTCAATTTTTAAATGCGTGTTTTCTCAAATTTTCCACATTTCCTTTTCCGTAGTGCATTCATCTATGAGGGAATAGTATATTGAAAGACAAGCGCAGTGCCAACTTTTTTATTTATGGAAGAATTTAAACGAAATTTGATACATAGGCACTTGGGATAAAGGAAAATCAAACGCCAATTTCAAATTTGGTTTTGCGCATGCGCAGTGCCAACTTTTTTATTTATGGAAGAATTTAAACGAAATTTGATACATAGGCACTTGGGATAAAGGGAAATCAAACGCCAATTTCAAAATTTGGTTTTGCGCATGCGCAGTGCCAACTTTTTTATTTATGGAAGAATTTAAACGAAATTTGATACATAGGCACTTGGGATAAGGGAAAATCAAACGCCAATTTCAAAATTTGGTTTTGCGCATGCGCAGTGCCAACTTTTTTATTTATGGAAGAATTTTAATGAAATGTGATACATAGGCACTTGGAATAAAGGAAAATCTAGCGCCAGTTTCAAAATTTTATTTTGCGCATGAGCAGTGCCAACTTTTTTATCTATGGAACCATTTAAGTGAAATTTGATACTTAGGCGCTTGGAACAAAGGAAAATCTAACATTAGTTTTAAAATTTAGGTTTGCGCATGCGCAGTTCCAACTTTCTTATTTAGAAAAGCATTGAAATGAAATTCTTCTCATAAACTGAAATTTAAGTAGCACGTCAACAATGGATTGCCCATGTGCAACGCTATCTTTCATATTTGTGGCCGGATTTTTACGATTTTAACAGAAGTTGCATCTTATAAATGGGAAATGAATGCAAGTGGAAATGCGCTTTATGTAAATCGTTTACGATTACTTTTTAACTTGTTTCTATTTCGGTGCTTTAATTTAATTAAAAAAATCATTATCAGAAACTATAGGGAACATTAGAACTAACATGTTTTATGTTGGGAACACTTTCTATGACGTTAAGTTTTAGGTTGGCAGCGTAGTAAGACTGACATTTTGAAGTTCAAACATGGAAGTACCCAACGAAGTACCTACTTGTACTAACTAGTAACTGCCAACTTAAGAAATGAGTTACCAAAAAAAACGACTATAATCACTGTCTTTGTACAACTGTTTTCACAGTTGTAGAAAATCATCATTGTGACACCGAAATAGAAAATAGTATATTGAAAGACAAGTGTTACAATGCGACCTATTGTAATACGACTATCTTGTGGCACGAGTGGCGACGCGAAGCATAGCCACGAGTGTCCGCAAGATAGGAGTATTACAATAAAGCATTGTAACACGCGTTTTTCATACTATTTTTTCTATTTCGGTGCTTTAATTTAATTAAAAAAATCATTATCATAAACTATAGGGAACATTAGAACTAACATGTTTTATGTTGGGAACACTTTTTATGCCGTTAAGTTTTAGGTTGGCAGCCTAGTAAGACTGACATTTTGAAGTTCAAACATGGAAGTACCCAACGAAGTACCTACTTGTACTAACTAGTAAGTGCCAACTTAAGAGATGAGTTACCAAAAAAAAACGACTATAATCACTGTCTTTGTACAACTGTTTTCGGCCGAAAACAGTTGTACAAAATCATCATTGTGACACCGAAATAGAAAAAAATGTTTTTTTGTCGTCGACCGTTAATATTATTAAGGCTTTACCTTTTTCTTGTTTTCGGGTTTTTCCGTGATTTTTGTTTAATTCAAATTTTGGTAAAATTATATCTTATAGTGTTGGTCGCTAGATGTCTTTTTACAGGAGGAATGTAATAACATGACAAAATCTCCGTCCTCTCGCCTTTCCCTATGTCGATGTCTTTATCTGGTTTCCACATGGAAAGCGCTATGAAATGTAATGTTGAAACTAGGAAAAACACCTCTTGTCAATTTTTTGATTGCATAGGTATATCTTACTTATAAATATCCTCGAAATCGTTTATATTTTTTTTTAAAAAAAGAGGCTGACCCAAATGTAACACTTCAATTGCTTACTTATTGGCATTTCAATCTTCAAGCAAACACCCATCCGCCAGTTTATAAGAGCGGCAGCAGTTTAGTTATAGACAGTCATCCAGTTTTTTCTCTACTATTTTTTTTATGTTTAATAGTCGGTAGGCAATAACTGATAAAACACGGTCGTCCTAATCAATCAATGGTATAAAGCAATTTAGTGCAGGGAACTCGCGATCGCGTGGAAGAAATAATTGATATGCCACGCACAATGGCCAATCATCAATCCGTTGCATTATTAATCCATTTTTTATACACACAAAAATTCCGACAAGTTTTTTTTTTATATTCGGCCCACTGTGTTCGATGTATAAAAGATCAAGATAAGGATCGCTCGTGGGTGGAAGTCCTAATTGTGAAAGGATCAAAGCGCTACCGTATGTAAATTTCTGACAAGCTGCCTGTCTGTTTATTATGTGCTTACGACAAAATGTGCCGTGGAATTACTGAATTTGGAGATTACTTGAAGAGATTCCCTCAAACTCAAACTAAATACCTACATGGTTTCTCTTTGTATATGCAGAAAATTTGCAAGATTTAGAGAGAGGAAGAATGCACCTAAAAACAACTTGAAAAATGCCTTCACAAGACAATTGAATTGGGGGAGGGTAAGAGTTACGAGATAGGTTTCTGTTTAAAAATTAGTTACTTTACTATTGAAGTTGAATTTAATACAGGGCGTAAGTAATATTCAAATCGCATAAGAGTAGTTTTCAAACTTAGTGCAGGTTTCGGAATCAATTAAGAGAACAGAAATTTTTGAATTTTAAATGCCTTAAAAGGGTGGCAATTGAAAAATGACCTGTAAGTAATTTTCATTGAAAATACATATACGCTGTAGTGGTATAGTATTGATGTTTTTTTTTATTGAAAAATACGAGTAATATTTTCATGTCAACGTCGTAAAAAGAAAACAGTAGGGTTAGTATTTATGGATGGATAGATCGAAGCGATTTCCATTATCTATAATTACAAACGAGGTGACATCATGTGGACGCACGTACGACGCCCGTCACACGTGAGACCGGAAACAAAATTAAACGTGCGGTAATGTAAGTCAACGCCAACGTTGTTCATTATCCGGCATAAACATTAGGGACGATATTATTGCGTGTGATAAAAACCCCTGCGCGTTTATTTAAACTTCCCTATACATGTATGATTTATTGCGTCACTGATTTTGTTTTGTTTTGTTTCAGATGTTGCTCGTGAGTGGACAACCGCCTTCCGTCCTTCAGCAGCTCTGCTCCCTTCCATTCGCCTACTTTTCCGTGGAAGCCCTTTCGAGGATTCTCTATCCTACGTTGCTGGCGTGCTGCGTGGGTAACGAACATACAACTTCGATTTTAAAGCAAGAACTTTCGTATGAGGTGAGTTCTGGTCCTCCAATTTGGAAAATTTCTATTTTCATTATCGCCATTTGGTAGGGTTATTTATTTTCAGCTTTTTTTGGAACCATTTTGACCACTTAGGAGGTTAGTTCATTTCGATTTCATTTCTATAAGTTTCTTTTCAGTATGACTTCTTTGTTGAATACTCTACTCTGCGAGCAATTCACTAATGGCGAAATAAAAAATCTGTGCCAAATTTAATCGAAAATTTAGGATGACCTTTGCAACAATATCTCAATTCTACAGATACATCAGGGTTTCCATCGTCTTTTTTTTTATTCTTCTTTGTAGGTTGTTGACTTCTTCCATTTTGATACACTTAGACTTGTCCATTGAACAATGTCCTCACTTTCTCATCCATCACACTTTAGTATCATCCCAAGGTGCATCATCGGAAAAAATGAAGAAAATCTGATTTTGTGCTACGTTGTTAGAATGCTGACAGTCCAAAGGCATGCGCTACCTGAGTGGTGGTCTTTCAATTCTTTTTCAATTTTTCGTAAATATGTCGAGAGCCATTCACTACACGAGAAAGAAACGTTTCTGGGAAAGTGAAATAAGTAGGTTTTTGAAAATTTGTACTTCGGAGTTACTCTGAAGGCCCAATCGATGTAAAATATTTCCAAAATGGCGGCACTTCTGGAAATACCGGAAGTAGCTAGTAAGTTCGTTATTTTAAATGACAACCCTTATTTTTTATTGCATTTTTGAATTCTACGTGAAATTTCAGTTCTTTTGATACCCCCATGTCGATATCTAGACTACTAAAAAGAAAATCCGAAAAAAATGTTATCAATTCAATGAAATGGAAGTCAGAAACTGTTAAAGATAGGTATAGGAACATGTAATATCAAAATATGCTAATTTTGATTCTCTATCAAATGTAATAGTAAGAAAATGATCATTCCATTAAAAATTTTTAGTCATTGAGGTTTCTTAACTTTGGATCTCCATAGGTGCGGTCGTACAAAACTTATCTTGTTTTAAGTACACTTAAAGAAAGCCCTATTCTTTCTCTATGCACTGGCCAAAATGGGTTGCCATAACTACAACCGTTTTCAAGTAATCAATTTTCAAGGTACCTTCTGCATCCGTCATTTTTTTCTTAGTCAAAATAACTGAAAAACCATAAATTGTAGATATCGACATGAGGGTATCAAAAGAAGTGAAATTTCGCATAGAATCCAAAAATGCAAACTAGGGGTTGCCATTTTAAAATAACGAAGTTACTAGCTACTTCCGGGATTTCCGGAAGTGCCACCATTTTGAAAATATTTTACATCGATTCGGCTTTCAGTGTAACTCCTAAACAATGCACCAATGATAAGCGTTCGTAGGTTTATGAGTATGACAGCTACTGGCAAGAAAAATACACGCGCGCTCTATTTGCTCCAGCCATGGCGTCGATTCCCGAAGATGTGCTTTGTTCACATCGACTGACCTTGATGTGAATGTCACTGCATTCTCGAACCTACCACATCGAGCGAAAAGTTGATCGAACGCAACGACTGGTCTAGACCACTCGTTGCGTGAAAGTCATGCGCAAGTACAAAGTTTGAAAAACCTACCTATTTCACTTTCCCAGAAACGTTTAACTAAAGCTCCCAAAAAACACCCTGTATATATTAACTATTTTGATCACATTTTTAGCCCATTTTTGAAAAAAAAATAGGGTATTATACAGGGTGTTTTTTTGGGAGCTTTAGTTAAAAGTTTCTGGGAAAGTAAAATAGGTAGGTTTTTGAAAATTTGTACTTAGGAGTTACTCTGAAGGCCGAATCGATGTAAAATATTTTCAAAATGGCCGCACTTCCGGAAACACCGGAAGTAGATAGTAACTTCGTTATTTTAAATGGCAACCCCTATTTTTTATTGCTTTTTTGGATTCTACGTGAAATTTCACTTCTTTTGATACCCATATGTCGATATCTACCATTTATGGTTTTTAAGTTATTTTGACTTTAAGAAAAAAAATGGCGGATGCAGATGGTACCTTGATAATTGATTACTTGCAAACGGTTGTAGTCATGGCAACCTATTTTTATCAGTGCATAGAGAATGAATAGGGCTTTCTTTTAGTGCACTTAAAAAAAGTTAAGTTGCGTACGACCGCCCCTATGGATATCCAAATTTATGAAACTTCAAAGACTAAAAACTCAGTTTTTTTTAATGGAATGACCATGTTCTTACTATTCCATGAGATAGAGAATCGAAATGGGCATATTTTGACAATACATGTTCCTATAGCTATCTTTAACAGTTTCTGACTTATTCCCATTTTATTGAATTGACACTATTTTTTAGGATTTTCTTTTTAGTAGTCGGCCATGATTCTATAACAATTGAATTTTAAACAAATCTAGTGACACTAATCCATCACCCACTGTTATAGGTTAACATAAGTTTTTCAAAAATCGAAAAATGACTCGCAGTGGTTTCACCTATTTTGGAATTTAATTGTTATTTATGGTGAAATGGGCAGAATCGCGGCGCGTGCTTTCCGTACATTCATTCGAAAACTAGAACGAAATTGTATGAATTTTTGAAATTTTGTACCCCTAATGCACTACAAACCGTTGAAGCACAAGTTATACAAAGCTCTACAAGAGAATATTTAAGAAAATGAATTGAATTGCAAATGCAAGATTAACAAAATAAATTCAATGCAAAATATAAAAAACTTTGTTGAAACATTTTTGGTATGGAATTGTTGCTAGAACAGATATCGCATTACCTCTCTTAATTTCCAGACTTATACGTTGTTTAAGAAATTCAGTTGAACGACTCTGTTTAGATTTTTCAAAAATTTTCTGTCCTATATCCTTATTAAATGAGTTATTTATTAATGAATTATTTAGACTAGAACTAGAATCAGTGGTATTAAAGAATCCATTCCTTGATTTGTTTAAAATTCGATTGTTATAAAATCATGGCCAACTACTAAAAAGAAAATGCGAAAAAAAATGGCATCAATTCCGAGATCAATTCAATGAAATGGGAATAAATCAGAAACTGTTAAAGATAGCTATAGGAACATGTAATATCAAAATATGCCAATTTCGATTCTCTATCTCATGCAATATTAAGAACATGGTCATTCCATTTAAAAAAACTGAGTTTATAGACTTTGAAGTTTCTTAAATTTGGATCTCCATAGGTGCGGTTGTACGCAACTTAACTTTGTTTTAAGTACAGTAAAAGAAAGCCCTATTCATTCTCTATGCACTGATAAAAATGGGTTGCCATGACTATAACCTTTTTCAAGTAATCAATTATCAAGGTACCATCTGCATCCGCCATTTTTTTTTCTTAAAGTCAAAATAACTTAAAAACCATAAATGGCAGATATGACATATGGGTATCAAAAGAACTGAAATTTCACGTAGAATCCAAAAATGCAATAAAAAATAGGGGTTGCCATTTAAAATAACGAAGTTACTATCTACTTCCGGTGTTTCCGGAAGTGCGGCCATTTTGAAAATATTATACATCGATTCGGCCTTCAGAGTAACACCTAAGTACAAATTTTCAAAATCCTACCTATTTTACTTTCCCAGAAACTTTTAACTAAAGCTCCCAAAAAAACACCCTGTATTCGTTATGGCTGGCTGTCCGTGTTTTAATTTTATTACTTTATTAACTATATAGGGTACACACTCACTTAGTAATTGAATAACAACCTTGTTTCTAAGTTATTCCATTGTTTCTCCCTGACTACTTATTACAGTCCGGCTGAGATCTCAGCAATTATAACAGATAGAGAGACTTCAAATTTTCACTAAAAGTTTTCTGCTATGGTGTAGATGTGTAGGCTCTAGTCTTATTTTTTTTATTCGGCATTAGTTTACTTTAGGTGCATACATAAAAAATTTCATTTAAATATCTTAAGACATAAAAAAATGGATTCTGCAAATACAAAAGTTGGAATGCGCATGCGCCATTTGTTTTGCATCTGCATAGTTGATTGAGCTTTAAGAAATGTTTACTGACACAGAAAACCGGGCATTTGTAAAGCTATAAAAGGGTAGTGAAACGCGCTGCATATAAAATATTGCGGAATAGCAGTTTAACATTTGACACGGGGGCTAATCTGATACCAAATCTGTAACTAATACTCAAAAAGAATCAATAATTCGAATGACTTTACACTAGCAAAAGCAAAATTTTAATCAACCACGAGTTTCCCGTGCTGTTCGGGTATAACAGCGTAAATGTGAAGTTAAATTTCAAGGACAATACTTTACGAGGCACAAATAACTAAATTTCTATTTAACGGCAACGTCATCTAATTAATTCAAAATGTAAACAAGCTAATATGAGCAAATTCTTCGGAGTAAACAATTAACGTTACTGAAAAAACGTTCTCGGACTGAGTATCGGTAATCGGAATAACAATATAATAATAACAACAAATAATAGAATATTGTATAGAGCGCCCAATATGTAATAAAACAAATATATTGAGGTTGATGTATTTAAGGACTAACGTATAGTGGTCTAGTTTACTATCGTTTGCCTTTGCAGTACGTAAAAGTCAAAAATATGAAAGAACAAGCTACTGTCACTAGTTTAATACTGTGCGTGATGTATTTTTACCCGAACAAATAAGTATAAATTGTGCACAACGCTTGCGTAGATAAAGCGCATTTTTTAAAACCGAAATAGCCAGGGGGTAATCAACAGACCTAAAATTTGTATAATACTTCCCCTTCGGGGGAAGTCCTTCAGTACTTCCTCTTAACTTCCCTATACTTCCCCGTACTTCCCTTTACTTCCTCATACTTCCCAGTACTTCCCCTTACTTCCCAGTACTTCCTCCGAACTTCCCTAGTACTTCCTCGGAACTTCCCCCAAACTTCCCTTATACTTTCCCGAAATTCCACTGTAAGTAGACATTGATATAGACTTTAGATTTGCTTTTTCAATGTTATACGTAGTAACGCTTATAACGTGTCCACGAAAATGCATTGTATGCGAAATGCGACTGGATGTGAAATGAATACTATACATGCGATGAAAAATTAGATAAGTGTTAATCATTACTTATTTTCACACTTACCTATTTAATATTTACCTTTGTATTTACATGAGGTTTGAAAGAATTAGGTATTAATATGAAAGAAATTAAGACAAATAATTGTCCTGCCAGCATTTATTGCAAAATTTTATAATAAAAACATATGTACGGAACAATAATAATATTCATAGATGGATACTTAACAATACTAATTTATCGGTAATCACGCAAACCGTTACCTAAAAGTATTCAGACTCCCATTAATAATTGAAATCTGCAAATGTGCATACTAACATAGTTTTCCATGATCTATCGAAAGAAAATATTATCATCATTGTGTTACTTCCAGTTTTACCGGAAGTGGATAGCTTTTAAATAGAACACCCTATATTGTATTTCCGGCATCTACATGAAGATCTACGTCGTTTGATACCACATTTCCCTATACCCAGCATCAAAGGTTTTTAAGCTATTCAAGATTTTTCAAAATTTCTGTTTAAATCATTATAAGGTTAGGGGTTGATATTATTGATATTTTATGTGATTCTATGTAATAGTACATTATATACCAAGGTAGAGAAGTCTAGTATGATTGCCTAAGCACGAAGATTACACCCTGAGGCTCTTGCGCCGAGGGATGTAAGGTGCGTAATAGACTTCTCTATCGTGGTGTCTTAAATTGAGTAGGATAACATGGCTATCTTTGTTATTATTATACCTACTTACAAATTCGGTTAAATTTGCAAAGTTTACGTGTAGTCTTTGATGTTGATGCATATTCCGATGCGATATTTTGAAAAAAATAATTTGTTTCGTAGTATAGATAATTGGAAAAATGTGAAAATCGTTTCAAATAAAAGTTGCAAGATTCGATCGGACAAATTCAATGGATATTCAATAGAATTTTTTTTTCAAAATGGCGGTTTTCGAAATATTGACATCAACTTCCTTGTTTTGAATGGACGCCATATTGGATTTTTAAGTCACTCCATAGAGAAAAAATTACAAAACCAGTGATACTAAACACTTAGTATTTCATTTGGGAATCAACCTTGCATTTTTGCCTCAAAGTTTACAATGTATTTCTTATGGCAATAATTCCATGGCCGATTGTGATTGAAACCAAATTCGTGCGTTAGTTGTCTCGCTAGCTGGTTTTGTATTTTTGTCTATCGAGTGACGTAAAAGTCAAATATGGCGTCCATTTAAAATAAGGAAGTTGATGTCAATATCTGGAAATCCGCCATTTCGAAATTTTTTTTTTACACATATTGAATTTATCCTATCGAATCTTGCAACTTTTATTTGAAACTTTTTTCGATAGCTCTGTTTGTTACTAAAATATTTGATTTTTTTTTAAATGGTGATTTTTCATTTTTTATCAATTACCTACGAAACGATTTATTTTTTCAAAATCTCGCATCAGAATCGGAATATCCATTATCATCAAAAACTATACAACTGTTCCAATTTAACCAAATTTGTAAGTATAATAATAACAAAGATGGCCATGTTAGGTATCTACTCAATTTAAGACATCCTGTATACTACTTCTTCCACTACTAGTAACGGGCGATCATAAATGAGTTACTGTCGAATCGCCTTTGGAAATTCAAGTTAAGTACGATTTACCATGTAAACAAAAATTCCAAAGGCGACTAGACAGCAACTCATTTTTGATCGCATAGTACTTGAAGTCCTCTAAATTAACAGATCTATATTATTAAAAAAGTGAACGGTTGAACAGAATTTTTGGTTTATTAATTTAATATGTCAATTACGTGGGTCGAAGTAACAGTCAAGAAAGCCGTATTTTCTTCAAAGGGTAGTTTCGTTCGAATTTTTTCAAAATGTGATAATTGTATGTAATTTCTCTTGAAATGGCGGATGGTGGCAATTATTCATTTTAGAGAAGTTATCTGAACTTTTATTGAGCGGAATTTCAGGTTGTGATTTCTAAAAGTGACAGCGTGACAGTTCTCTTTATTGACTACTGGTTAATAATGACCACATTATTAACTACTTTGAACAACTGGCGAGAAAGCCTGCTTTACAAGTGGAGAAAAGGTTAATAATCAGGTTATCAGACGCTAGTAGTGAAAAAATAGGTTTTGATTTTAGGTATCTATATAGATAATCACAATCATAGGTGTTGACTTTTTTGGAACGAGGCGAGATTTATGCACTCAGAAATAACTTATTAATTTTTTTCACTACTAGCGTCTGATGACCTTTTTTCCACTTGTAAAGTAGGCTTTCTCGGCATTTGTTCAAAGTGGTTAATAATTTTTTATTATTAACTAGTAGTCAATAATGAGAACTGTCACGCTGTCACTTTTAGAAAACACAACCCGAAATTTCGCTCAATGAACGTTTAGACAAGTTCTCTAAAACGAATAATTGCCACCATTCGCAATTTCCAGAGAAATTACATACCTAAAATTATCACATTTTGAAAAAATTCGAACGAAATTACTCTTTACAAATCTCAATGACAGAACAAAATACGGCCTGTTTGACTTGTACTTCCACGTACTTGATTGACATGTTAAATTAAGAAACAAACAATTCTGTCCAACCGTTAACTCTCTTATCAATATAATATGTTAATTTAGAGGATTTCAAGTGCTAGTAAATTGCTTGAGTTATCAGGTAGTAGCATGCTATCGATGTTTACTTTCTTGGTAAATGATAATGGGGAGGAATCTCTTTACACATAAAGATTTAAAGGCCGCCTGGTATGAAATCAAAATCCTCCGACACTCCATTCTGCAGATATTTGCACTGAAATCTTTGACATCACCAATAAATATGTCTTGACTTGACGTTCCACTTGCCATTTATGAGTACCCTCTTTCGACACTTCGTTGTCAAGGTATAATATAATAAATAATTGGAATTCCATGAAAGATGAAATTAATTTGTATCTCCACCCCCCCAGGCCCCTTCAAATCTGAGTTCCCTTTAGCTTTACAAAAATGTTCGGCAAGCAACTATAACATTCTTCTTACTCTTGTTTGCTCAGTTTTTGTAACAAACGTTCACATCTTTGTTGATAACACTGAGATACGACACGAATTGATTACTTAAATACCTTTGCCGCAATCAAAGTTTTAAAGGTGTAGGGAAATGTTATTTCAGGAACAATCTTCTTCTAAATGATATTTTATTATTTAATTTGAGAATATATTATTGTTTTTTTTTTTAATTTTCTGTTAATGAACAGAATCATATGGGTTAGATGGAAGAGCAGAAATGGTATGTTTCATTCCATTACTGAATCTCGCCCTTTGTACACTTTCTATGTAATTAACCTAGATACTTATTAAAGACATTTATTATTAAAAAAAATACGTCTAACATTTTCGTGTAAGTACTTTGATTTTCTGTTCGTCTGGCTTCACAATTGGGATATCGCCCCGAGCATAACATCGAGCAATATTCTTCATCAAAAACGTAGTTAACTTTTTACTTTTAACAAAATCTGTACCGCGTTCATGTGTAGATTTTGATTGCATTCAATTTTGAACAGGTAAGGGATTTTCCATGGTTCTTCAATATTATGATGGCGATACGTTTATGTTTCTTTTTTCAATTGCTTGGTAGACGAACAGCCGTTTTGTTCCAAATCCAGTAATAACCCCTTCCAAATTTTATGACTAAGTGTTGAAATTGACGCGAGGAAAGTAACGTAATTACATCAATATCATTTTGTGCTTAGTTCAATTATTATTTGCGCATTCTTTCGCTTTTTAGTTTGACTTCTTTACATATTTAGGTCCAAGATCCCAGGACTCCCAGATGTTGCTTATTTTCTGATGAACAAAATATGTACAATATAGTATAGTATTTGTGTGCACAATAAACGTACCTACCCATACATACCCATAAATACACCCCTAGCTTGTGCCGACGGCTAATTACAGGGCGCCTTGCACGGCACAAACACGAGGATGTGGTCCGGCTCGAAGGACCATGTTCAATCTCGATAGGAGATTGAGAAGATTTGGGCGGATGTGCCGTTACTCACACCCTCGTTGAGTAATTGAATAAAATGGCTTTAATTCAAATACTAATACGTCTCGTAAAGTCGTAACACTTGATGTACTAATCTAACTTTGTAATACCTTTTCTACTTATTCTTCGGATTTACCTGTTCTAAACATTCATTGATTTGTTTTACTTTAATTGTCGATAAGTGCGACGTATTAGATTTAACTATCCAAATGTTTTTGTACAGTTACCATGAATCCAACAGGATTTTTTGGCTCGGTTTCAAAGTCGTGCTTTTTACAATGTTGCACTAGGCTTCTTTTACAGCAATTAACAAAGCCTTTGGATACATCCTTAATAAAAAACGAAAGATATTCGCCATTAATAAAGTTTCCTTTTTTCACTTTGCAGTTACTGGAAGAGTTTCGCAAATCGGATTTCGGCCGCAATCAGCGACTGGTAAAATTATTGGCCAACAAGTAACCTTTCCAGTATTATAATCGTCGCTTTAATATATATACCTATACTTGTATCTAATTTAGTGATAAACTAACGTGATGTTTTTAGAATCTTTAAAAGAAAACTATTTTATATACATACACATCCTTTTTACGTAGCCTAATTGATGCTTACCAAAAATTATTTTAACATTCAATTTTTCCGTTAAGATTTTTATGCTAATATGTGTATGGTGGGAATAATAAGCTAATAGTAGTCGATTTATTCCAGCGTTTCGGAATCCCGATTGGTAACGTTTGTTTAAAATATTCAAAATCTCGTACTTAAAAATCTGCTGATCTCATAAAATCACTGGGATAAATCGAAGCATGTGTGAAATGTTGTGATTACTTTAATTATTTTGTGATTTTGTAGAAAAAAATATGTTGACACGAAAATTGTATTTTTTCTATTAATTAAAAATATTACAGCAAGATCCATTCCATTCTCCCTCATTCGACACTGAACGGAAGTTGGAAATTCATAAAAATATCGCATCGGCGTCTTTATAGAGGAAAAAAGGCTACACCCGATAAGTGCTTATATCCGAAAAATTGTTTAGACTTAGTGAACATGTGAGACATAAAGTCAAGTGGTTTTTAAAATAAAAATAACGTAAAAGTGAGTGTCATCTAAAAATATCTCCATTTATCATTTCCTAGTTAGAAAGGTTCTTTTAGAGAGCAAAAAAATGGATGGCTTCCCGATTTAGCGCCACTCAATTTGAACGACGACGTTGACAATCGAAAATTTACGAAATAAATCGTCAAAATTTTAATTTCCGGAGGAAAATGTATAGCTTTTGATAGTTTAAAATTAGGGAAATTCTTTTCAGTCGAACCTTTTGAAGTGGCCTGGCCAGCTTCGCACGGGAGCTTTTTTACGTTAACGCGATGGGATCGGCGACAGAGATTTGCGTGATGCTGTTTACGTTTTTGGCGTGATTGAGGATTTTGACCAAATTGCGTTATTGCGCGTTCGTGTGACCGAAGCGTAATTCGTATCGAAGTTTTAGAGACGGGGGATGACTCCCCCATGCTCTTAGCGCTAAGTGCTCGTGTTAATCTACTGCCCCGCGTTCTAAGCCACCCCAGTACTGTTATTTTACTATTTTCAATGTAGACGACGACACCACGTTGTGTCTTGCGTCCATTCCACGTTCATTTTTTCGCACAAGCTAATGATTTAAATGTGCGCAGGTGGCTACGGTGTAAAGTTTTTCCCACGCGGTTCCGTACTTGCAGCCCTTGTAATTAAAGAAACTAACATTTCCTTGCGGACACATTTTTTCTTATTATCGAAAGCAAATACCCATTCCCACAGCCACCTGCGCGTGAAAAAGTGAACATATATTAATTATTCAAAAACAAAACAGTACAACGAGGGGAGACTTTTGCACTTGTACACACCTGAGTTCCGGTTGATTTACTTTGAGGAAATTAATTTCTTAGTTTGTCGATACACGTGTGCAAGTAAATTTACATTTGATGCATATTTTTGTTTAATAAAATGTTGAACACCACCACACGCGGTGGTGGCGTCGCGCGCGTCGCCTCAGCAAGTCCTGATCGTTAATGTACGCTGTAAATAATAGCGATGTAGAAATTAAACTCCGGGGAATAATAATATTCATTATCGCTTTTTCAGTGTTGTACGTACGCATTAAGAGAGGTGCTAAAAGTAAAGGGTAACTAACGAAACAATTTCAAACTTTTCCAAAACACTTTCATAAACTTTCCTCTAAATTCACTAACTAAATTATGCGATTGTAGAAGATCGGAATCGATACTGCATCTAGCTAATTAAAATGCAATACCTACCACAATGCAACCAACCCGAAAGATTTCATTTAAAATAGTACTTAATTCTTTGTTCCGATTCCGATTAATAACTCTACGTAAAACACGGTAACTTTAATTATTCCCCACTACCTTGTTTGTTCAAAACTATCTTTCGGAACTAGGTGTACAACTAATTCGAAAATGAATTGTAACTTTTTGTCCCTCTTAAAACGGATGTAATCATATCCCTACGCCCGCTATCTAGACGCTAAAACCAGTTAAAGAACAAAAAACCCATTGAAAACCCCTTCGTAAAAATGACACATTTCTTTGACTCCAATCATCCAGACAAATTCTTTACCTTAATAAAAAGCAGTATTGGGAAGACACTTTAGAACCATTGACGTTTTACTGCTTAAACAATTCTATTTTACGTATCAAATACAACCTAATGCGTCCCGTTACAACCCGTGCCAAACATGTTTTTCGAAAAGTGTCGCCCTAAATTTGCATTAATTTCTGTTATTAAAGGAAATGAACAAATTAATTGTGCGCCAGCAAGATATGAGCAATTTTGTCAAATGCTTTAGTATACAGGGTGTTTTTTTGGGAGCTTTAGTTAAACGTTTCTGGGAAAGTAAAGTAGGAAGGTTTTTGAAAATTTGTACTTAGGAACTACTCTGAAGGCCGAATCGATGTAAAATATTTTCAAAATGGTCCCAATTCCGGAAATACCGGAAGTAGCTAGTAACTTCGTTATATTAAATGGCAATTCCTATTTTTTATTGCATTTTTTGGTTTTACGTAAAATTTCAGTTCTTTTGATACCCACGTCCCATATGTCGAGATCTACCATTTGTGGTTTTTAATTTACTTTGACTTTAAGAAAAAAAATGGCGGATGCGGATGATAAATTGATTACTTCAAAACGGTTCTTCTTTTTTACTAATGCATAGAGAAAGAATAGGGCTTTCTTTTAGTGTACTTAAAAAAAGTTAAGTTGCGTACGACCGCACCTAAGGAGATCCAAATTTAAAAAACTTCAAAGACTAAAAACTCTGTTTCTTTTAAATGAAATGACCATTTTCTAACTATTGTATTATATTCCAGTGTGCGGAGCAGTCAGAAGGGCCAGATTCTTGCAAAAGGTGGTATACACGATTTTATCGTTTTAAACGAATTTTTTCCCGGCACAACTTTTGGCAGTCAAAAAACCTCAAAATGTTTGGACTTTTTTCAGTTTTTCGCTTAAAACTCGGAAACAGTCCATATTTTATGAATAACACTTCTTTAGTAAAGAAAACACAATTTTGCGTCGATCAAAAGATGAACAAACAAAATCGGTCCAATAGAAAAATTTTTACAAGCGATCAAAGAAATCCCTTAAGCTCCCCGTCAATTCCTGGAGATCCACGGAAATCCCTGAAATTCCTTATAGATCCTCATCCTTTCGAAATCTTAAATTCTTCCAATACTTTACTACCGCCGTTTTCATATGGAAAAACCTACGCTTCCTCACGCACCTTCTCACAGGTATTAGAAATTAATAACAATATTTGCGATTGTTATATTTCAAATACTGCGTGGCAATATTGAATAAAACAATTAGAAGCTAAAGTTTATTTTTGAACGTCAGTGACAAAATGCAATTGGAAGGTAGACAAGGAAAGTCAGATTTTGGCTTTTTCCATGTGAGAAGGAAAATTAATTTAGAACACAATCTCAAATTGTAGTTCACATGTCATATTTTATCAGGAACGACTTCGTTCGGTACGGCAAAACAATTATTCAAAGGTAAAAGTGACCGCATGTGCAGATAAGCGCATCAAGTGATTATCTCTACCTGCTTACCGCCTCTCCATCAAAAATACAACTTATGACCAAATAATTCGATCGTGTTAACGCGAAGTGAAGTGCATCTTGTGCGGAATGGTCTCCAAAAATTCCAAATGGTTCCAAGGAGAGTGCTTAGTAGGTACCGAAAGCAAGAAAGCGAAGGGCGAGTTTTGACAAGTACAGGTTAGGTACCAAGTACAATGCAGTAAGTAATTTGAATTTTTATATTTAAACATTGGGCATACAATGCAAAATGATTTTGGAGTTGGAAATAGGTGAATTGTGTATGGAAATTTACCTCAACACATGTAACTGCCGTTAGTTTCAATCAATCATTTTCCAAATCAAAAATTTATACACGAGAATTACAATTCATCTTATCTATCGGACTCTAAAATTGGAAACACATGTGTAGTCCATTGCGTCGACGGCGTTGGCATTTTAAACAGGTGTTTAGAAATCTGTTGATAATTTCCGAGATAGTTTGATTCTTAAACAAACACCACATTTGCCGTTTTATTAGCTTTAATAATAATTGTCGCAGAGTTTATTAATTTTAAATTTATTTTATACGAGTGAACCGCAAAATGAAATGTCTTGAAATCGAAACATGCAACTCAAGATTATTGTGTCACCTCATACCTAAAACTGTACGAAAAAGGGTGACTAGCAATTTCATTCTTTCTCTCTATACTCATGTTAAATCCGGGTTCTTATTAGAGCCATTTAATTGGTCCAAAAATTCATTCAATATATGAACGTAAGTATTCACAAACTGCTTTCCAGTTGAAGAATCGAATTTCCATTTTTCGCATATTCAGGCCAGATAATTTTGTCTTGAACTTGTATTATTACCTCTTGCACTGTTTAATGGTATTTGTCTCAGAAACCATGACAAGTAGAACGATTGAACTTGCGGCTATACCTAGGTTTCGGGCATGCCTTTCTGATCTGTAAAATTCCTGCGCAAGGAGGTACTTTTTTGATCCCCAAACGACCCCTTAGGGATGTTGTAAAGCACATTAGGAATGCTGTAGAAAATTCAAATTCATTAGCCCATTGCGTAAAGACGTGGTTTTGGTAAGTGTAACATCTAAAACGATGTTTTAAATTTCGGGGGCTATTTATCAAACCAACCTCATTACGTTTTATATGAAAATTAACTACAAATACTGTAGTAGTTGGAGCGTGTTAGTTAAGGAATTTCGGAAAGGTAATGGAACAAAAGACGTGGTTTTGGCAAGCATTACACCCAAAACAATGTTCTTAGGGACTTTAGAAGTTTGGGGTTGCTGTTTTCATGACGCAGCACCTTATAATTTATATGAAAATGAAGTACACTTTTCTCTTGCCAGTTATTAGATAAGGGGTAAGGCGTAAGGGTCACAAATGCCGCTGCTTAATGCAGTTACAGTGAAAGGGTATTGGAATAGCTATTCAAGCAATTTGCATGAGTCTTGTTCATTCCGGCAGGTCATTCAATAATTTCCAACAAATTTCAAAAATTGGTCCAATTTTAAATTTTTGAACTCGGATGTCCTACAATCATTAGGAAGGGGGTAGGTAGTGGATTTTACCGTTTAGGAGCCACAACGCATTAAAAAAAGGTTAACTCAGTTTTTTAGAAAAGTTGGAAAAAATGGGTGTTTATTGCTTTTAACAATTTTTCTATTGGACCGATTTTGTTTGTTTATCCATTGATCGACGCAGGGTTTTGTTCTCTTTTTTTACTAAAGAAGTGTTACTTATTCATAGAATATGGACCGATTTCAAGTTTTAACTGAAAAAAGTCCAAACATTTTGAAGTTTTTTGGCTG